CCCGGGCGCAGCCGATCCTCAGTGTCGCTGCAAAGAGGAGCCGCGAGCCGGGCTCAAACAGGCCGTTGTTTGCGAGGTGGCCGAGCTGCTGTCCAACACATGCCAGCTCCCCCGTCCCCCCCAGACGCGGCGCAGCCCCGGGCCGCCTAATCCCCGCAGGGAGAGCACATCAAATCAGATGGACAAGTTTTGATGTGAGGCAGCAGCTTAGGGCCGGCTCAGGTTTCCTTTAAGTTTTTCTATATTTATCTCTGTGATTTAATGCCAGCGCCAGGGTTTAAATGCCACCACGCAGTCACATGCCAGCTCCCCCGTCCCCCCCAGACGCGGCGCAGCCCCGGGCCGCCTAATCCCCGCAGGGAGAGCACATCAAATCAGATGGACAAGTTTTGATGTGAGGCAGCAGCTTAGGGCCGGCTCAGGTTTCCTTTAAGTTTTTCTATATTTATCTCTGTGATTTAATGCCAGCGCCAGGGTTTAAATGCCACCACGCAGTTGGGGTTGGGAGACAGAGTCCCCCCCAGACGCGGCGCAGCCCCGGGCCGCCTAATCCCCGCAGGGAGAGCACATCAAATCAGATGGACAAGTTTTGATGTGAGGCAGCAGCTTAGGGCCGGCTCAGGTTTCCTTTAAGTTTTTCTATATTTATCTCTGTGATTTAATGCCAGCGCCAGGGTTTAAATGCCACCACGCAGTTGGGGTTGGGAGACAGAGCAGCCGCTACTCCGCCGCACACGCCGAGGAGGCTGCCATGGAGCTCTTCGAGACCAACCCTTACTTCTTCCCAGACCAGAGGTTTTACGATGGCGAAAACTACTTGAGCTCCCGCTTGCAGGGCTACGAGCCGGGGGCATACCAGGAGCGGCCAGGCCTGGGACTGTGTCCGGAGGGCAGGACGGGGTTGGAGGAGAAGGGCTCGCCCCTGCCTGAGCACTGTCCCGGACAGTGTCTGCCCTGGGCGTGCAAGATCTGCAAGAGGAAGACGGTCTCCATCGACCGGCGCCGCGCGGCCACCCTGCGAGAGAAGCGGAGGTTAAAAAAGGGGAAG